AGAAAAAATGATTTAGTTATGAGCTGTTATGTGTTCTTCTTTTAGCCTTATCTTCAGTGCATACTGTGGATTTTCCTCTTACAGTACTATGAGAAAAAATATGGAGGCAGATCAATAAGAAAGGATCCTTTTTTCAGGTCAGTTCATTTCTTTTAAGTTTTAATGTTTTTTTGTAAGTATATTTTCACATTGCGCAACCATTACCATAATATAATTTTAGAACATTTCCAGCACTCTAAAAAGAAGCTTTGTACCCATTAACAGTCATTTTCCTATTCCACCTTCCAGCCCTACGTAATCACTGATTTACTTTGTGTCTCTGTCAGATTTGCCTATTCCGAACATTTCATGTAACTAGATTTAGAAAATGAATAGTCGTTTTTGGGGAGTGGGGGGATGTCTGGCTTCTTTTACTCAGCGTAATTTTTTCCCCTTTTTCTTATATTTATTTTGCAAAATTAACATTAATGTACACAGTGAGAATTGACATTTATATACTTCCCATTATGCTCACTGCATGCCCAGTGTTTTAAATATTTATATAATACATTTTAAAACATTTTAAAGAAAAGAAACAATGGAAATATGCTTTGAAAAACTCAAGCCCCCCAAAAAAACCACTGATTCATTTAAGTGCCTTAAGTATATTTATTAATAACTTTTATATTTATTTACACTACAGTTGACATGTTGATGTTGGAATATCATCACATTTGTCAGAAAATGTTTTAAAAATTGTTGGGATTTAGACAGTATAGTTGGTACCAGCATATGATTTTACACTTAGCATAATGTATGGAAGGTTCTTCATGTTGTAGCATGTAGCAGTACTTTGTTACCTTTTTCTTGCTGAGTAATATTACATTGTATGTATATACTATACTTTATATATTTATCGATGAGTTGCTTTCACTTTTGACTATTATGAGTAATGTTGCTAAGAACATTTGTGTACAAGTATTTATGTGGACATATATTTTCATTTCTTTTGGGTAAGTACCTAGAAATGGGATTGCTGGGTCATATGGTAACTCTGTGTTTAACCTTTTAAGAAATTGCCAGGCTATTTTTCAAAGTAAGTGGTAGTACCATTTTACATTTCTGCTAGGAATTTTTGAGGGTTTTGTTTTTTCCACATCCTTTCCAATATTTGTTATTGTTTGTCTTTTTTATTTAGCCACTCTAGTAGTTGTAAAATGGTGTTTCATGTGGTTTTGATTTGTATTTCCCCAATGATTCATGATGTTGAGCACATTTTCATATGCTTATTGTCCATTTTTAAATCAGCTTAACAATAACCCACAAGCCTTGGGCCCACTATATTGTCCATTTTTAGATCTTCTTTTGAGAAATGTCTATTCAAATCCTTTGCACATTAAAAAATTGGGTTTATTTTATTGAGTTGTATGAGTTCTTTATATATTCTGGAGACAAGTCTCTTATCAAATATATGATTTGCAAATATTTTCTTCATGTCTGTGTATTTTGTTTTTACAGGTTATTTTAAGTTTAAGGAAGAATTATTTATTGAAATATAGGTATTGGTACTAAATTAGTTTGGAATTTCTTTTTATATTTCTCACATCTTTTTTTTGTTTATTTGCTGAATATTAATATACTATAGAAAATTGGAAAGTATAGGTAAATGTATAATGGTTATTTATTAACTACTAGATATTCCCCCATCCATTGAGGACTTTACCAACTGGCTCTTCTTTCTTCTCATTGCCCTTATTTTTACTGTCAACTTGGGGAAGATTTCAGCATCCACATAGATAATGTTTTTTAACACCCTTTAACCCCTCAGTTTCTGATTTTCTTCAAGCCAGTGACTTTGCCTCTACTTCATTTACTTGCATTAGACTCTACTTCACTTCATCTGTTTGCCTCAGAGCCATGCTACCACTGCTCTTAACTTCCATCTGTAAAATCTTAAACTTCAATGTCCAACTCTTACCAAGAAGTTTTCATCTTTCTGCCTCTATTATTATTAGTCCTATTAGACTTTTCCTCTTATGGTTCATATCCTTGAGTTTTTCTTATCCTTCCAAATATATCAGCTAATCCCTGTTTTTACTTTTCCCTCTATCTGGCCTTGCTCACATGATTCAACACTTTAACCCCCTTTCAGCATCCTTAGCTTTTATATTTCTTTGACCTGTCTACTAAAAATTATAGTTATTGATGAATCTAATTATATGCTGGAAAAAATAACAGTGCCATTTGATAGTACTACACATTTATCTCATATAAATTCATCTCTGTTTTAATACTGTTGAATAACCTATCACATTTTCCTAGTTAGCACCTTCTTATCTTTCTTTTCAGTAGTTCTCCCCAGCTTTCTTTGTACTCCTCAAATTCCCCAAATCACTTCACCTCACTTCCTGCTTCTCAGTAAGTGATCTTGCCATCTATCACTGAAAACAGAAGCAATTATTTCTAATTATAAATTTCCACAAACTTGTCCATGTCTTCTATCATTTTTGCCTTTTCCCAGTCCCAGAGGAAGCAGTGGCCCTTTCTATTATCCAAGT